TATTATACTGAAGAATGTTTAATACATTATAGCATACATTTAACTAAACAGGGCAAATTAAATACATGCGTAAGCCAAGTTGAAATGTATACATGTCCAGTTAGATAACGCTGGTCATTTATTTTCTTGGATAAGATGTATAAAAGTAAGAAACAACTAAAATTGTCAAAAGGCGAAGATGGATGTAGGAACAAATCTGCAGAGAGGTGTTTGGGTTTATCAGAGGAAATAGCGAAAGATTAAAAGTAAAGACAATGAAGATATAATGGACAGAGTCAAATGTAAAATATAATATCAATGTGAAGGAGAAAGGGGAATCTGCTTCTCCAAATATCACTCCTTTTTTTTTTTTTTGTTAAAGCTACAAATGTATGTGCATTCCTAAAACTAATCTTTTATAAGGAGAGGATAATACATGGGTTACATTGCCGATGGTTTGTTAAAACGTACTTTTGTGCAATACAAGAGGTCAGAATGTACTGAATGAAATATATTTGCTTAGAAGAGTCATCCAGAAATTCTTAACATCAGTACTTAAATTATTGGCTGCAGCACTGCAAACTCTCAAGTCGAAGACATGTTTTTTTTCATTTCAGCCTCTAAATAACCATAACTACATGTCAAAAAAGAGAGAACAAGGCTATGCTGGCCACATTTGGATTTTCTGATTTTTCAGATATCTATTTCTGATACTGTTATTCCAAAGGGAAGAGCTAAAGGGTTACTATAATCCTTTTGAGAGGGGGCACTTTTCCAACGTAATATGCCTTATTGGGCATTGTGGAGAAGGTGCCCACTCTCAATTCAATGTAAAACCTGAAAATAAAAGATTTTACTTAGTGTTCCAGTGCTGGGTGCTGCTTTTCTGCACCCCCTCCTGATGTAATTGGTGGTGCGCACAGTACAATTCCATGCTTCTCATAAAGAAGCCTGTGATTGGACCAATACACAGAGTGTATTCTCTGGAAGGAGGGAGAGGTTAAAAAAAAACAAAAAAACATATAAGCAACAGAGGTAGGGTTGGAGGGGAGAGCAAGCTTCCTCTTGCAGGCACTCTGCCTGCAATGGGAAGATTTTAACATCTGTTGTCAGCATCTAGTTTGTAATGTATGTGCAGAATTGACAGCCATAAAAGATACATAAAACAGAAAGTGGATTGTGAAAAGAACTGACCGTTTAGAAAGTGCAGGCAAGCCACTATATATAGGGATGCACTCCCTGTATCCCTTAACTAAATGTGCAAAAAACAGGACTGTATATACTATACAGAAATAGGGCGCCACTTATCACCAAATATAAATACTGGATATAGTTACCCTCCAGCGAGCAAATGAGGATATTCACATAAAAGATATAAAAAGAGAAAACATCATAGTGCAAACTTTTAATCCAAAGTGATAAAAAACATATAGATAAAAAACACTCACAAACAGTGTGGCACAATTGATAAAATCAATATGTGCTAAAGTGCTGATGCCTATAATAGGCTAAATCTCCCGGTCTTAGCAGTCTGTGGGCATCCGTATAGAAGCTGTAGCAAGGACAGATAAAACAGTTCACCATCAGCTGATCCAATTCCCCGGGTTTGCTCAACGCGTTTCGTCTGTTCTTAATCAGACTTCCTCAGGAGCGCTCCTGAGGAAGTCTGATTAAGAACAGACAAAACGCGTTGAGCAAACCCGGGGAATTGGATCAGCTGATGGTGAACTGTTTTATCTGTCCTTGCTACAGCTTCTATACGGATGCCCACAGACTGCTAAGACCGGGAGATTTAGCCTATTATAGGCATCAGCACTTTAGCACATATTGATTTTATCAATTGTGCCACACTGTTTGTGAGTGTTTTTTATCTATATGTTTTTTATCACTTTGGATTAAAAGTTTGCACTATGATGTTTTCTCTTTTTATATCTTTTATGTGAATATCCTCATTTGCTCGCTGGAGGGTAACTATATCCAGTATTTATATTTGGTGATAAGTGGCGCCCTATTTCTGTATAGTATATACAGTCCTGTTTTTTGCAGAATTGACAGCCATCCTGGAAACAAGTTCTGGGCTGCCAATGTAATGTGTACTGGGGGTGCAACATGCCTCCACCACACACGTACTAATATCTCTGTATGTGCAGTGTTTTAAACAGAAACATTGTACATACGGAGTCCTACCACCATGACCACTTCAATAACCCTTAACATCTAAAGCTCTTATAATTTACAAACATTCCAACTCAACAATTAAATAAGACCGTGGGTTTTATGTATGGTTACCTGTATCATCAGTCATGTGTGACATACCACTGAAGGGATAAGAGCTAGCTGAATGGCTCTGACTGATGCTTTTCATGTAACAGATTGTGTTGTAATTTTAGGAGTCTAAAAATTATAAGGTGTTTGAGTGTAAACCAAGGGAAAATAATACATTTTAGAAATCTGTCTTTTGTGTTTTAGAGTTCTTATACTTGATATTTATTTGCTCTTTATTTTACCTTAACTTTTATTCTTTTCAGCAATGTTTGTTGATTTGGATTTGACATGTCTTTTGTCTGAGGTTTGTTGAAACACACACTCAATGCTGGGATACGTAAGAAAACACAGTTCTTATGTATCCCAGCATTGCAGAATCTCAATATCTGTTTATATGACAAGAGGTGGAACAACCGGTGTGTCTTCCTCTCTGAAAGCTTTGGGACTTAAAAACCACTTTGGAAATATGTTTGTTCAAATAATAAGGTGCTTATTTTTCATGAGGTAACAATCAGGACTGAACTTTCTTCAGGTAATACCTGCTAAGCCAACAACGGTTTTTGTTGTTATACCTTTACATACAATTTGCCACGATAGAGCATAGTTTTCATGGGATTACATAGGTTCTCCATTTTCAAATTTTAAAGTAAATAAAAGTTTACATTAACAAAATACCAAAATGCATGATTATAGTCCTCTTAATTTTAGAACGGTCATAGATTTGTGAGTAAAAGCAGACTTTTTAAATTTATTTATTTTTCTTCCCTATTCAGGTCACTTATATTGAAGGATCGGCAGTTATGGGCTTTGGAGACCCAAGGGTACAGACTGATGATACACCAATTAAAAAGTGTCTACAAACCAAATGGCCGTTTGTAGAGTTGCTGTGGTCTACAGATAGACCTCCATCATTAAACTGAGCCCACCATTTTGTCCAAGCGTTCTCTAATGCTTTGACAGTTAAACATTTACTATTTACAGGAAAATCTTCTCTTAATAAGGGGTAAATGTGTTAATTCATGTAATAAAGATGTATATACAGTGCATATAAACCTTTTACATTCAAAACAAATCCAACCATTAATCAAACACTTATTAGCCACTACATACTGAACTACTTGCATATTTCATATATTCTCCGCATTACAAAGGCCGGGTTATTCACTAAACCACGTATGGTTGGGAATTTGAAATAGCTTTTTTGGAGAATTTTTTCAGTTTCCAATTTTGACCCAGTTAAAACCCGACAATTCATATCTTAGTAAATAACCCCAAATGTTTTTCAGTAACTTAATAAAGGGACTACGGATTGTTTAACGTATGGCATCATGCCTAAGCTTTAACATAAACAAGACCGTTATACTTAATGGAAAAATGTGATGTCGGTATTCAAATCTGAGAGGGGGAGGGGGGACCACATCAGCCTAGAGCATTCCCTTCCTTATTCTGAGTGGGTCGGATAAGACCTGGGTTGGAAGACTAGAAATATGATGGGTAAGAAGTGAGCATATGTGGTTCTTGGGTGGGTTTGATTCACATCACTTTCTCTCCTGCACAGAAGGGCAAATCATATATTAACTTTGTCTACTGCTTTTGTTACATATATATGCAAGCAAGCATGCTTCCTGGAGGTCCATCAGAACAGTAATGGCTAACTTTGGTACTGGAGATGTTTATGAACTAGATTTCCCATGATGCTGAACTAGGCATTAGGTATGTAGTTCCCAAATATCTCCTATACCAATCTCCAAATATCTCCTATACCAATAATAAATAACCCCTATTAAGTAAATATGCCTTCAGCTACTTCATTGAAGCTTGCTACCTGCAAAACATAGGGGACACAGTGTTTTCATGCCTCTTATTTTTTCCGATGTCACTAAATTATTACATATAATTGTTACCACGGATGCCTTTTAAAGGTTTTCAGACCACATATCAGAATGGCCTGTTTCACCTTCGAAATTTGTTAATAATTACTTCTTGGCTCTACAACTATGTCCCCTTCTTCATATACACTTTAAAACGCTTTTGTTCTCCCAAAATAACTAAAAGTTGAATTTGAATCTGGGTCCTGTTAAATATCTGCCAGTTACACTGCACTTTGAGAAACCTGATAACTTTATTATAAATGTCAAATTTGTTTCTATCAGCTGATAACTTTTACAGTGTCCAAGGAATCTGACATTTTACAATTAAAACAATGTATTGGTTATATATGCATTACAGAGTTTTTCTCACAAGACTATTGTATGACTTTAAAAATATTCAGATCGGTTATTGCCAAATACTTCTTTTTTTTCACACTGAATTTTTCTGAGCTACAGTTTAAGCCAGTTTATTCTTCTGTTTATAACCGTGTTAAGTGCATGAGAAACATCTGTTCCTGTACAAGTATGTTTATTTATTATGATGGAGCTGCTGGCCTTAAATAAACAAATATTTTTTTCTGAACTGTGACCTACTGTATTAATCTTTTGTATCTGTTGTCTTTGTTTTCAGCATTTTTTCCATGTAGTTAAAATGTCATTGCTATAATTTTTATTATGTAGCAAAAGCACACTTTTTAACTATAGTTACATTTTAATCTTGAGTTATCCAAATATTTTCAGGTTACTGTGTTCCATTAATATTCTTCCACTGTTCTTTAGTAAAATCCAAGTTGGCTGTATTATTTGTTCAATTATAAGATCAAGGTTAAAATCTGTGGTTAAAGGACGACTAAAGGCACCCAGACCACTTCATCTCAAAGTGGTCTAGGTGTAGTGGTCCTTTTTTTTTTTTATTTTTATTTTTTTTTTTTTTACCCTGCAATGTAAAGAATTGCTGTTTTAGTAGATATAACAAAGCTTACATTGCAGGGTTAAATAGACCTCTAATGGCTGTCTTCCTAATCTACTTTTATAATTTAGGATAGCCTTGGTACCCAATATTTAAAAAAAATGAAATAAATAAGTTTTCCTTGATAACTAGCCAGAGAGCACTACCTTAGGTTGTGTGTGTTCTCACTGTTTTTATTGATGTGCTGTTCTACAATTTACACATAGTTTTATTGTCTTATTTAAATATGAATTATGTTGCAATAAATTGTGAACCGTTTTGGTGTGCATGTTTTTTTTTTTTGTTTTTTTTTTATTACTATACATGAACTATCAAAAAGCAAATTGCCATTGGAGAGCTTTGTCGTTTGCCAGAATTAGACATTTGTCATTTTAGAATCATGGGTATCTTTGAGGAAATAAGGAAAGGTACCTCATGGCCTTCCAGTAAACCTGTTTAGCCCAATATTGACAGGTTCTTATAGGGACAATCCGAAGCACTATAACTACTAAAGTTTATTATAGTGGTTAGGGGGCTAGAATGCTGTCTGCTGTAGGGTGCTCTCAGTACTCAGTTTTTACTACCTCCCAAAAGTCGTGCAAGGAAGAACAACCAGTTAACTGGCATCCGGGTCATGGGCTCAAGGATGCACAAGGGGAGCGATGGTTTGTCAGGTCTGATCACAAAGAAGACCTACTGTAGCTTAAATTCATGAAAAACTTAATGCTGGTCATGATAGAAAGGTGTCAGAGCAAAAGTGCATCACAGTTTGCTCCGTTTGGGGCTCCGTAGCCGCTGACCGGTCAGGGTGCCAGAGGATTTACATTATTGTGTAAATTTGTTTTGTACTGTGGTGATAAAGTGCAAAACACACAAAGTGTGGGGGTGGTAGTAGAAGTAACAGTGCAACTCCTCAGTGTTTTAAAACCACTTAAAAAACACACATAAAATACAAGTAAAAGATAAAGATAGAGGAGTGCAAATACAGATGTATACTTAGACACTGGTCAGTCCTTTAGATGTAACCTATATACAAAAAGATCCAAACATAGCATAATACTGTTTTTCCAAATAATATAGTAAGTAAATATGGATTTTTCACTCACACTTTGCAGAGCCACGTATAGTAGGCTCTGACTATAGTTGCTCTTTAGTAATTCCCTGGTATGCTGAACTCCACCACGTCTCCAGGATTCTCCACTTGGATCAGGATACAGGAGATATAATAATTCCAATAAAGAGTGGGGATACTTGTTCAAAATTTAATAATATTAACAAATATACAGGGACATATATAAAGTGCATAAAACAAGATAGCAGCACTAAATGTACAAAGACATCTATAAAGTGCATAAAAAAATAACACTAACGCGTTTCGACTAGAATAAAGTCTTTTTCAAAGTGCATGCACTTTATATATGTCCCTGTATATTTGTTAATATTATTAAATTTTGAACAAGTATCCCCACTCTTTATTGGAATTATTATATCTCCTGTATCCTGATCCAAGTGGAGAATCCTGGAGACGTGGTGGAGTTCAGCATACCAGGGAATTACTAAAGAGCAACTATAGTCAGAGCCTACTATACGTGGCTCTGCAAAGTGTGAGTGAAAAATCCATATTTACTTACTATATTATTTGGAAAAACAGTATTATGCTATGTTTGGATCTTTTTGTATGTAGGTTACATCTAAAGGACTGACCAGTGTCTCTAAGTATACCATATACATCTGTATTTGCACTCCTCTATCATTATCACCACAGTGATGTGGTGACTTAAGCGCAAGAAGTGAGCATCTCTCACTGCTGCCATAGCATCCAGAAAACCTGGGATACGGGATGAGATAGTTTAGAAAATGTCACTCATTCTCCATACTGCTAAACATGGGGGAAATTGACTGGTTGATTACATTTGAGTTGATGTAACCAAATATTATAGCCAGAATCCAATTCACATTGTCCCAAATGGTGACATGTTGGCCTTACATTTACTTTAAGCATTGTGTAAGCTAAAACTTTGAGTAGTGAAGACGGTTCCAGATGTAGAACCTTAATGTACAGGACACTTGAGACCCCATCAAAGCTAAGAAAGATTTAAAGAAAGACATGGACAGGGCAGCGTTCAAAGGAAGTAAATGAAGGGGAGATGGGTTCGAGGCCTGGTAAACAGTGTCAGAGAGTGGGATAGTATCACCACCTGTGCAGTGTTTACTCAAACCATCTGGTACTGACATTTGTATGAACTACAGTGAAGACTTGCTGCATAGAGGGATGATAAAAGATAGGGTGTATTTTAAATACTACTTTGCCAATCAGGACCTATTTATCATTTCTTTCTTTTGAACTGCTTGTAACTACTCGGCTCCTTATTTAGAACAAGTGGTTCCCGTAAAATCCAAAATCTGACCTTTTTTTATTTTATACCTGTGCAGGTTGATCCCTATATATTGCTTTTCAGTGTGTTGGGTGCTCCTCGGGCACTCGAATGTTAAGAGGAAATATGTCTAGCAAGTATGTTTATTTTGCCAGAGGAAGGGGCATAGATAAATTATATACTGTATGCTCGAAGGTTTCTTTACATGATTAAAATGAACATGTTTGAAATTAAATCTTGTTAAACTACAGCGCCAAACGTGAGCAATTCCTAGATATATAGATATATTCTGAGTAATGGGACTGTACCGAAATACTATCAAGGAAAATAATCAGATTGGTTTTACACACTGGCATGGAAAACTGCAAAAAAATTGTCTCCTTCTTTTAAAGGTTCATAAGCACTATTGTAACCGCTGGTGGTTCCCTTATTTACCACTATAATGTCTTAAAGCATAGAACTTAGTAGGGCTAACCATACAGATATCTTAGCCATAATTTTATATAGTGTAAGAGATCCTCTATTTAACATATATAAATAATTGAGAATACAATATAAAATAAGGATTGTCTTGGAAGCAATCGTTTTGTCTTTTTGGATATTTATTATATAAAAATATAAAATCCATTATAGCAGAGTTTATAAGATTAAATTACATGCTTGCAAATATCATTAATAGGTTAACATACCCTTCTGAACATGTCATCATGTCAGCCTCTCTGTCATTTTAAGATGGAGCAGCGTCTTTCTCCAAGTCTCTCCTCTGTTTCTTAACATTTAAAAGTACACCTATTTATACCTTAGGTGTCATCATTTTAGAGTTACCATAGTTCATATGTGAAAAAGTACCACTTCTTTTACTTTATTCATTTTAGGACCTCCCTTAACTTGGCAAACATACAAGGCCATAACTAAAGGGTGTATACGTCACGGAAATTTTCCTGACTTAGTTCAAGATGGCATCTTAAAGTCTGAATAGGTTATCTGTTGTTTATACTAAGTCGTAAGTGTACAGTCGTGGGAGATTCCCGGATTTGGGGAAGTTCCATTAACTTGGGGTTACCACAGTATATTGTGTACTGCAAGAGTCGTAGCATAGCCTTGAAGCTTGTTTATGCATTATTGTTATTGTAATTCGTCTGGGACAAAATGGCGCAAACATATTATGCACTGAGGTTATTGCTTAAAGAAACAGTTATGAAAAACAATATGTTCCATTTCTAACACCTTGTCAGTTTGCAATATCTCTTAAAGACAAAGTACACAGTTTAAGAAATACAACATTTCATTCTAAAACTTGTAATATTTGCATTTGCCCATAACACCCTCTCCATTAAACTGTGGGCATTGTAGACTATTTCTTCCTTAAATTAGTAAACCAAAGTTCTCCAACAGTCTCTTGTTTTTTTATGCTCCCAGCATCTTAGATCATTGTTGTAACAGTAAAATATCCGTAGTGTGATCTTTACCTGTAAAGGTGGTTGATTAAAATGAGCAAAGCTTTTGTCTGGGAAAGAATTGAAAAGAACACCAAGTTCCAGAGTAAGATATTCTTGGATGGATCCGGATACGAATTGTAATCCAAAGTTAAAAGTAGTAATTGTATTTGTAATCCAAAGTCCTTAAAGGCCTGTAGAAGTTTACATTCCTTAGATACATTGCTGGAGGTTGTGTTTGTAGAATACCCGGGTATTTGTTGTAGAGTATAGGTTGTAGAGTCCAGCTTTCCAAATATTTGGCTAGAATTGGTTGCAGATATTGATCAGCATCATCTGTTATCACCGTGGTGATGGCGTTGGTATTTGTCTTTGCCTTTTATTTTGTTTTTTCCATGAAACATTTTTACACCGTTTATGATGTGTATAGATTGGATACTCTCCGATATTCTTTTACGGAATAAATGAATTGACAGCATTTCCAAGACATTGTCTTAAGTGACATGGATCCCATTATAGTAAATGTTATGTTGATACAGCAATCGAAGTGGATTCTCAAGAACGCCTCTTTTTGCTGTATTGGAATCTTTGTAACATCTCAGTGATAGACATCTCACTGACATCAGGTGCTGTTGTGCTAAAAATGTTAACAGGTAAAATCTGTGGAAAATTCTTTACATTTGTTATAGTTTGTATAATAATGATAGATGAAATAGTAACATAGTTAATCTTTCTAGTGTTTTGTATTAAAGATAAACACCCTTGTATATGATTTAGATATATAAGGATAAAATTGAAGCAGCAAAGTATTTACCGCCCTTGTTCACAATGGTATGTAAAATTACATTCTCTTTAAATGTAAAAAATACTCCTTTATTCAAAATCTCTCAATATATTTAGTATAGCTGCTAATTGGAAATATGACGTTAATTATCTTTCTTTGACCTGTTAGGGAGAAGACAACTTATTCCCTAAGTTACAATTAGTAAATATAATAACTACAGTTATTAGTGGCTTAAAATACCAGAAACACCCAAAAATTGCCTTAGAAAACATTATTCTTTTTTTTTTTTTTTACCAAGATCTGACAGCCATTGTGGAAAGTTACGTTTGTGAGATTGGATGCTTAACAATGTGAATCTTAATTGTTTAAGTATATTTTTCAGTGGCTGTTGGGTGTAGCTTAAGATGATTTGGATTTTTATTATTTCTAAAAATGAGTTAAGAAAGCACTCAGATACAATATTGAAGGTATTTATATTTTAACTCTACCTTTGTATAAGTGGTTTTATGTACCTTTAACCATCACAAACCAAATAAAGTTTTCTTGGTATTTGAAAAACTGATAAAATATTTGATTACGTGTATTTTAATATATATATATATATATATATATATATATATATACATAGAGTGGTATGGATGTTGAATTTATATCTTTGACATCTTTTCACCAGTTTGCAATAGGTGACCTAAATGATCAATTTCCAAAATCATCATGTATATCACCTGGACGGGTTAATCCATAATACTCTTTTACTTTCCATTGACTGGCCTTGGCTCTGGCAGACTGAATATTTTTATCATTATAAATAAACTTTATGATAGTTGAAGTAAAGTTTCTGCCTGTCTTTCAGTTAAATTTTAACTGTTGAAGTATTTCACTTATATTAATTTATTATACCACTCTGCAAACTTAAACGAATATCGAGTAGTTTCTGTTTTAATAAAAACATTTTATATTTTCTTCTAAAGTTTAAACCTTATTCATTATTGCAGTTGTTATTGCAATCATATGATCTTTAACTATCATGATTCAATTATTCATCTGGGTAATTAGCTGTATGCTCTTATACGTATGTTTAATATATTTGTTTGTAGGCCAGACTGCAGCTGCATATGGCATTTTAGCAATAATCTTCAATTGCGTTTCAGATATTCACAAAGTCTATCCACCTTTGTAATTAACACATTATGTGTTTCTTATACCATTAATTATAGTATCTGTATTATATTACACATTGTCACTGACACATTTCTGATACAGGGCAAAAAAAATAGCATGATTGCTTTAGTAATTATAATTTTCGGTCCATGCACCACATTCCTGGAAGTCCAGAATATAAGAATCCTTTGTCATTTGAGCAAGGAGTACATTGGTAGATCGCATCTGCAACAGAACCATTACGGATTCCTTGTTGTATCAATGTCTCTGTGTTTATGTTTACAGGAGTTCCTTGCTTTGCAGGTATGTACATAATATGCAGAGTTTAAGAAAAGCTGCAAATTGTGCTTTAGTACAAGTGTCCCGTGATGTCAGGTTTCTAAAAGATTTTGCTGGTCTTTTATATTCCATTCTCTTGGCAGGGCATCTGCTCTTAGTAGGCCGGTATTGTTATTATTTATTAATTGCATCAAGGTTTCTTTCGTTAATTGATGTGTTTCTTCCAAATTCAAATTCATATGCCACCAAATGTAATTGTAAAGTTCATTGTTACAGAATATTGTTCCAGGATGGTTTTTCACTCCAGTAGGAAATCTATTTTCCTCTTCTTCTGATCCTTCCTATTAACCACTTTTTCTGAGTTGTAGTTAACAATCTGTGTCTTGTACTGTGAGGTGCTTTGATAGTCAATCTGGTTTTGTCAGTACCATGTTCCATCTTGAGAAACAGCTGGGTGTTGACAGCTATCAGCCTTTATTTCTTTTTCCGGTCATCTTCTGTCTGGAGACATAATAACAATGTCCAGAATTAGCATAGCACTTCTTTTCAGCATAAGAAGGCTGTTTGCAGTAGTCACTCAATGATAAACTATATGGCAAAGTCTTTTCTTGCATCACCTTCATAGGTGCATCCAAAGTCTTTCATAAGCATCTTTCCCGTCTTTTTCTGTTTTCAGCATGCTTTGATATCATCGTTGATTCCATTATTAGGATTTGTAATAGTCCAATCACATCTTTCTCATGTATAATCAGTTTTTGGAATGATCTCAATAGGTTCCTTGTGAAATACCAGTGTGGGTCACATTAGCAATCATTTCACTGTGAGCTGTGTCTCTCCTTTTGGGATGGTTCTTGGAGGTAGTCCTCACGATCACAGAACTTGTATAGTGTGCAGTCCAATTCAGTTCAGGTGCTTCCTGCTTGTTAACATAATTCCAATGCAGTTTTAAAACGACAGCTAGGGTTGATGTTATGATAATGCTGCAGACTGTAAGAAGGAGACACCATAACCAATTTTCTAGCATCCTTTTGCTTCCATCTTTGAATTTCTTTCTTACTGTATAAGATAATTCAGGTTCAGTCTGTTTTCTCCAGAGTCTTTCTTATAATGATGTTGATGATTCATTTTTCATACATTCCATGTTAACTGTGAATGTATCACGTCTGTCTGTTCATCCTTCTCCTTCACATTTGCAGGTTCAGATGTCAGATCACGATTCAGTCTGTTCCGTGACTATGATTCTGGTGGCTTTTCTGTCGTCCTCTGTTTGTTTTATCTTGCCATCTTTAACAGCATCCATTGTGTCAGTCAGTGGTTCTGTGAATGTCCTGTTAATATTTAGCAGGTTGTAAAATATCAAAACTTACTGTTCTCTGTTGGCTCTGATTGTTCTCTGTAGTAAAAGTTATCTGAGTCACCCTCTCCAGGACAAGCTGGCCAACAGAAGGAAATAGGTGGTGGTGCAAGGCAAGGTGGGCTGGAAAAAAAAAAATTCCCTAAATTTCTCTAATAGAACCAATGGTTCTAAGCTCTCCCTGGTGCAGAAATAGTCAGTGAAAGAACATGTAACATTTCATATGGTGTCTCACCATTTGTATCATCAGGTATGTTGTGAATGCTTATCTGTACCATAGGAATAAATAGATACCACTGTGTGGGGCAAGCAGCTAGTAATTTGGTTAATAATCATTTAACCTCAGCATTCTCCCAGACCACAACCCCACTTCTTTGGGGGTGGTTGGGGCACTGAAATCCCAAAGTAACCCAAATGTGGTTGCCCAGTTTTAGGTTTCCTTTGCAGTAACTGCAGGACCACCATCCAAATGGATGGTCCTGGGATTATCAAATGCATACTAAGGAAGTGAGACTAGAAAACATGGCATCAGAGGTTGCACTTCGCACAGGATATATCCAAGTAAACCTGGTACATGCATCAACACTCAACATTTATAACCATGAGATGTTGGCAAACTTTCAATATATAGTAATTCAAAAAGTATGTTAGATATTAATATTTCAATAAACAGTACATCAGTAATGTGGCAATAAGCAAATGCTTATGATTACTAAACACATGAATTACAGTATTTCCCATATTGTGACCATCAGTATTCCTTTTCAGGAGTCAGAAGTACATTACCTCTCTCTATAAGAGCTTGTCCTAGCCATGAAAAAGCTTTTAGGGCAAGTCTATCTTTCCCATTTATTTTCAGAATCTGATGAGGTTGGTAGATCATCTAATGTTGGTTGATCTAGATCTACATTTTCCGCATCAGTTAATTGAATGCTGATTACAGCATACCTGGCTCCTGCACCCCAAGGGCCTTGTACAATTTCACATAGTACCATTTCTCCATGATGAAGATCTCTGTGCCTGGGCTACAAAAAGTTCATTAAATTCTCGATATCTCAAGAATAATTGTCCCATGACAAAGAATTGTGTCTTCTCTTACGTATAAGAGGTTACCTAGGTATTTTTGCTTAAAATAAGTAAAGCTAGTGCTTCCAGCCCCACGTTAGGGCGCCAATTGTAACCGTTCGTACTCCAATTTACCGATATAACGTCTTATAACTTAGAATTTAGTAGGGCTAACCATACAGATATCTTAGCCATAATTTTATATAGTGTAAGAGATCCTCCATTTAACATATATAAATAATTGAGAATACAATATAAAATAAGGATTGTCTTGGAAGCAAGATTGTCTTTTTGGATATTTATTATATAAAAATATAATAATCCATTATAGCAGAGTTTATAAGATTAAATTACATGCTTGCAAATATCATTAATAGGTTAACATACCCTTCTGAACATGTCATCATGTCAGCCTCTCTGTCATTTTAAGATGGAGCAGCGTCTTTCTCCAAGTCTCTCCTCTGTTTCTTAACATTTAAAAGTACACCTATTTATACCTTAGGTGTCATCATTTTAGAGTTACCATAGTTCATATGTGAAAAAGTACCACTTCTTTTACTTTATTCATTTTAGGACCTCCCTTAACTTGGCAAACATACAAGGCCATAACTAAAGGGTGTATACGTCATGGAAATTTTCCTGACTTAGTTCAAGATGGCATCTTAAAGTCTGAATAGGTTATCTGTTGTTTATACTAAGTCGTAAGTGTACAGTCGTGGGAGATTCCCGGATTTGGGGAAGTTCCATTAACTTGGGGTTACCACAGTATATTGTGTACTGCAAGAGTCGTAGTATAGCCTTGAAGCTTGTTTATGCATTATTGTTATTGTAATTCGTCTGGGACAAAATGGCGCAAACATATTATGCACTGAGGTTATTGCTTAAAGAAACAGTTATGAAAAACAATATGTTCCATTTCTAACACCTTGTCAGTTTGCAATATCTCTTAAAGACAAAGTACACAGTTTAAGAAATACAACATTTCATTCTAAAACTTGTAATATTTGCATTTGCCCATAACACTATGCTAGTGTTAAAACATACCTATATGTGTCCAAATACATGTTGGATTTATACGGCAAAAAAAAAGAGAAATATTGCGTAATTATGTTAGCAGAAATTGCCAAATGGTTAGGCAGGGGCACCGGTTCAACTCAGTTAAGAAACAGAAACGTACTGTCCCAGCTTTAATAGTAAGCAGAAATTCCAGGTTAGAGATGATCCAGCATAAAGGAATCTATCCCTTCATACGATTATACCAGTTGCGTTTACCATTCTTCAAAAATGTAATAAAATCTATATATAAAAGCAAAAAATGACCATGTCAAATCTATCCCCTTCAGATCTCAGTCCATGGGAGGTCAGTCCACTTTTGTAAGTTCACAGGTGAGCCCATCACCCCAGCAATGCGCCTGCTATTGAGCATGGCACCATAAGCAGGTGACAACCTGGAACATCTTCTATTCCAGAGCAGCCCTGCCTGTGCCAGGATTGAGCTGGTTTGTGATTTAATTTTAACTTTAATATACATTTTAAAAACAGAGCACCACATAAATAAATAAAACTAACACAGTTTATAGGCAATTTTCAGTGTTTTGTCTAAAGAAGTGATTGCCCCCCCCTTTAATAATATATGAATGCACAGTATTGGTAAAAATGCAATTAATTTGCTATTCCAAGGCAGAGAAATGAAAGTGCCATTCATGCATCATTCCAGACCTGAATATTCTTATATAAAATATTTTTTTGGTCCCAAATCTCTCTGCACCTCTTTTCTATACTAATGTCATTTCTCGAAGCTCCATATTGTTGGTGTGTCTAAGTGTAAAACAGAGCTCCACAGCAATAGTACTCACAGTGATGTGTCTTTAAACTACAATAAATGTGTTTAGAAATCAGTCTGTGTAAATAATACGTATTCTTTTTCCAAATTACATTTCAGTTGCATACATTTTTATATTAGGAAATCACTTATAATTTCTCAGAAAAGATTGGCCCCTGACTACCCACCCATTGACGACCCCTAAAATTACAGTGTCCCTCTTTGTCCTTTTAAAATGTTGAAGGTATGGCCATGACCCCACTAAAATGCAGAGCAAGAGGACGTCAATCATCAAATACCGGACCAAAGGTCTGTTCAATTCAGGAGGCCCTCTAGTGGCTGTTTGGTTTGGTTTCTCTGGAACTGCAATATTTAACATTGCAGCACTAGGTACAAAACTGATACTGCATCCAAACCACTTCAATTAGCTGAAGTGTTCTGGGTGCCTACAGTGTCCCTTTAACCCCTTAAGGACCAAACTTCTGTAATAAAAGGGAATCATATGTCACACATGTCATATGTCCTTAAGGGGTTAAGCAACTATTCCACTTCACTCATATCTACCCAAATGCACCTCCCATGTGCAGGCAATTCTATGCTGAGCCTGTTATTATTATTATTGTGATTTATATAGCGCCAACAGATTCCATAGCGCTTTACAATATTATTTAGGGGGGGTGGGGGATTTGACTATAAATAGGACAATTACAAGAAATCTTACAGGGGGGGCGGAGCCAACAGCTGAGCCGACAGGTCGCATCTCCAGCGAGCTCTGAGAAATAACAGCACTTAAACGGATAAAACAATGATTATCACCCCCCAAAAACAGACTAAACAAGCTGAACTGCACTAGTAAACTAGGCAGCAATGGGAAAGAAAAATAAAAAAATAAAATCGGACATGCCACTACCAGGCATGAGTATTGGGGACCTATGGTGGCGAGCACATGGCAGATTATATGGCCGACTTGGACAATTCCGACGACCAAATCTCGGACCAAGAAGAGGTGGACTTACCCGCGGCACGAATGCTAACACAGCCCAAAACACAGCCGGAGGCTACTCCAGTCACAAAGACTGAGATGCGGTAGTTACTGGAAGAATTCGGACGGAACATCCAGGCCGACATGGCGGATATGAAAAAAGACATCCATTGCCTGTCGGACCGCATGGGTGTCGTGGGGCAAGATTCTGGCAACCATATACGGCAACTGACCATGCTGCAGCAAGATATAAAATGTCTACAACAGCAGCATCTGCAGGTGGAAAAAAAATGGCGGCAATAGAAGATTCAAGGCGCGCTCAAAACATAAGGATCAGGGGAATAGCGGAGTCAGTCCCAGACACTGAATTGCCTCACATCATAAGACGCCAGGTAAGCAAAATACTCCCCCTGAAGCAGGCCAAAGGAGTAAGCCTAGATGGTGTATTTAGAATACCCAAACCAACGACAGCCCCACTAGCAGCACCCAGGGGCATAATAGTCAAACTTCAAAAACGACAGGATAAAGTGGCAATCATGTCCGCCACCAGGGGAAAAACACCATTTGCCTTTGAGGACGTCTCTTACATTTTATGCGGATTTGTCCAAAGGAACAATGGCATGGCGCACAACCCTCAGGCCACTCACCACCTTGCTTCGCGCCTTAATGTCAATTACCAATGGCGCCCACCCCACAAGCTACAGATGCTTCATAGAGAAGCTACGTACTCAATAGCCAACCTACAAGAGACGAGAACGCACCTAGAGACCTGGGGCCTCCCACAAGACGCCCTACTGCAACCCCGCAAAACCACTAACACCCATGCATGGAACCCGGCCACCTCTGAGACATTTGTCCTTAGAAGGTCCACCTAAGCTGTATTGTCAACGGGCAATACCTGAGGCCCCCTGTGGGCTCGAGGGACTAAACCACCCGCTCTTCACAGTGCCTTAATGTATAAAACATGGCCGCAGACGAGTTTTTGTCGCTTTACTGTAATGCTACATAAATCCACCCCATATCAATGCCTACCAAAGCTCCACTGGTACCCCATGCAGGAGTCTGGTTACATGTTTACCTGTCCATATGTTAGTATCCTACACCTCGTTCACTGCATACCCTGCACTGCCCTTAACAGGGCAGAAGCCCCACTTACTAATAGCAACAGGGATGACCGTAGCCTTAGGCACTATGTCTACAAAGTATTACGATCTCGATGTCAAGTACTACGAAAATGTCTAGAGCTCGAACATATGATGCTAGATATACCCGACCTACCCACTTGTATACAGCTCAGTTCAATCCGTAATACACGTTATGTTCAACAGTCTCAGAATCGTTTTACTATAAAAGGTGCACTGTTTTCCGTGCCATTGTTTATGCTGTACTGATTAACATCTACGCTGTTGTGGCATCATTGATATGCTCTGTAAACAACTGCACAATAAAAATAAAGAATATTAAAAAAAAAAAAAAAACTAACAGAAACGAAGGGTTGAAGAGGGCCTGTTAGTCTATTGCACATTTTCTGCAACTGTACCAAGATATTAGAGTACTGGCAATACATGCTTGCTTTAATTTTGGACATCAACAGTTGTATCTGGTGACGGACCCCTCAAAAGAGGCGTGCCAACTGACGGTTTTAACCAATCAAGACAAAGAGGTGTCACCAGAAGCTACCATCAACTAGTCTGATACCCCTATTTGGCTTGAGCAAACACCATAAGTTGGTGAAACTTTAACTAGAGCACTTTTTCGGCCCTGGTCCACGGAGCAGGATGCTACTTAACTGGCCTATACAGGAGGCTTAGAGGCATTCAAGGACACCAAGCTCATGGGGGAGCTCCCTATTTGAAAGCACCACGGTAAA